AATGTCCATATTCAGGTCATGACAAAGAACCGCAAGAGGTCTGGGATATTACTTTCAGACTCAATAGTTCAATCCCCTTATTTCTATTTAAGAAGACCGTACTATGGTCACATGACTTCATGTTTTCAAAGGATGACCTGGACAACTGGTTGTGCTTGTTATGGGGGGAAAAAGTGGATGATTACCAAAACTCCTCTGACTTAACTAAAATCTTCTCAGTTTTGCCAAGAATGATCTTAAATAGAATTCTGCAAAACTAGATATGATTATATCAACTATATGACATGTTTTATCTATTTTTACTAATACCTTTTACAAATGCTGCTTCCTCAGTGATGGCTCAAGAAGCAATGGAATATGATGTTCAGATGCAGTTAGATCATAATGCTCTAGGACAACTTGCTCCAGCTGAACTTGTCAGCAGCCTACAGGGACCACCCTTACTTCAGCCTGCTCCTGCTGAAGGGGTCAGCAGCCAAGAGGGACCACATCTGCTGCAGCCTGCTCCTGCTGAAGTGGTCAGCAGCCAAGAGGGACCACGTCTACTGCAGCCTGCTCCTGCTGAAGTGGTCAGCAGCCAAGGGGAACCACACCTGCTGCAGCCTGCTCCACAGGTGTCCATTGACCTGACAGAGGAAGTGGGAGAAGAGAATGTGGAGAACATCAATCCAGGAACTTCAGAGGAGCATAGGCAGGAATCTGATGCTAACCCCACCATCCGAGTGGCTTCATTGCACTCAGTGAGCAGCTTCATTAATGGGCTACAGAGACTTCATGGCATGCTAGAATTCCTGAGACCCCCTTCAGACTACAATGTGGGGCCAGTAAGAGCCAGAAGGAGGAGAGGGACTGCTTCACGCAGAGCGAGAACCGGAGGGTCTCAGAGGACGGACAGTGCCAGGTAAATAATAATGTGTGGACTATGGGATTAGTACCAGATTGGGAATTTTGAACTTGGGCTCTGGTCATAACCCCAATACTGCTTAAGATAAGATAGGCATTGTGACTTTTGGCAAGTCAGGTAACTTTTCTGAATCCCTATTTTCTCACAGGTCAGATGAAACTAAAAGTGTTGGCTTTATTTACCTAACAAAGTAATTGAGGGGGTATGTTATACTTAATTTTCTCTCTCTCTCTTTTTTTTATCCTTAGCTGAGGACATGATTAGAGAGAGGAAAGGGGATGGGGGGGAGAGAAAGAAACATGTGTCAGTTGCCTTTCCAATGTGCCCCTACCGGAGATGGAACCTGCAAGCCCTTTATGTGTCCTGGCCGGGGATTGAACCAGCAACCTTTTAGTGCACAGGACAGTGTTTAACCAACTGAGCCACTCTGGCCAGTCAAGGGATAAGTTATACTCAAATGCTTTGAAAACTGATGGTAGTTTATTGGCAATGACTTCTGTAGAGGCTGTTTTTTCTTTAGATCATTTGCATCTTGTATATAAATGTGTGTGTGTGTGTGTATTTCTTAATTTGCAAGTTCACTCCACTCACCCAATATCCATTGTTTATTGGCACTCTACATAGTGGTGAAGGCTAGATTTAGAGAATCCTTGTGAAAAGGAGAATGTGAATTAAGAGCTTATCTGACGGAGTGGGAAGCATTCCAGTCCTCCTCACCTGAGACTATGTTGAAGAGTTGAAAAATTTTTTTCACAGTTTTTGGTTTGAATTTACCTCTTGAAGGGCTAAGCTGTCAAGTCTTGACAGGATTATTATAAAGAATACCAATTGTTTATGTCTTACCTGTTTTTAAAGTCCCCCTACTTTATTTGAAAGACTTTATTTCATATTTGGTCTTTTAAATATTTTCATGTTGAAAGAGGTCGAATTCATTTTATGGAGTCCAAGAATTTTTGTTCAAGGTCTCATAGCTACCACACAGAAGTAGAGCTGGTAATGAACCTGGATTGGACTCATTTTCTACATAGATACAGAGGGAGCTTAATCCTTTTGTCTTAACACTATGAGAATAGTGAGATGGTACTAAAAAATAGTGGCTAGGCCATCTGTTCTTACAAATGAGGAAGCTGATGGGATAATTTGTGATTTGTCTGAGGTAACTCTGGAATTGGGATTGTGCCTTCAGGATTCAGCATCCTTTTCCATGGATCCTGCTGATTACTGAAGCAGGGCCTGCTATTAATGTGGTTCCAGTCTGTAGGGCCTGGTCACTTCTGGATGTGACCCATCAAAGATGGTGGGTGTCTAGTTCTGTATTAAAGAAGAGTTACAAATGCATCCAACTCTGTTATTTTAAGGTGTCATTCCTTCAGATTATGAAGGCAAAAATAAGACTTCACACAGTTGTGTGATAGGTGACAGTACCTTGTAGTGCAGTTTGGGGCCTCTGCTGAAGTGAGTAAATGGGTTGAGACTTGAGAGTGGTGTCCCCAGGGACTGGCTCACCAAGAGGCCTCTCACAGTATTCTTCAGCCTTGGTTGTTCATGCACTCAGTTGAGTGATTGCTCTTGGTCGGGGACACTTGTGTTAACCACCTCACAGAATGACACTTATAAACCAGGTGCCAGTTTACAGAGAGAAATAGCAACTCTACAGAGAATTATCTAGTTGGCATGTTCAGCATGATTCTCCTAGAAGATATTTACACACACAAGTCAAATAATAATTAGAAAATTGCCAACATATGTAGAATCTGTGCTCAGGTTACAGAATTTAGATGCTGAAAGATATTAATCAAACTATTTGACTGACAGTCACATGTTTGTCTCCATAAAGTGGAATAAACCTAAAAGGCCAAGGACTGTGTAGTTCAGTGTAAAGAACATGGATTCTGGAGCCAGATAAATGTGCATTAAAACTTTTTTGCCACTTTGATTAACTATTGTACTGGAGGTTCCAGGTTAGGCAGAGAGAGAGAGAGAGAGAGAGAGACACACACACACACACACACACACACACACACACACAGACACTAGATTAGAGAAACAAAGCATTTGTATTAGAAAGAAATGCCCTGGCTGGTTTGGCTCAGTGGATAGACCATCAGCCTGTGGACTGAAGGGACCCGGATTCGATTGTGGTCAAGGGCACATGCCTGGGTTGCAGGATCAATCCCCAGTAGGGGATGTGCAAGAGGCAGCCAATCAGTGTTTCTCATCATTGATGTTTCTCTCTCTCCCTCACCCTTCCTCTCTAAAATCAATAAAAATAAGAAAAAGCCGAAACCGGTTTGGCTCAGTGGATAGAGCGTCGGCTTTCGGACTGAAAGGTCCCAGGTTCGATTCTGGTCAAGGGCATGTACCTGGGTTGCGGGCACATCCCCAGTAGGAAATGTGCAGGAAGCAGCTGATCGATGTTTCTCTCTCATCGATGTTTCTAACTCTATCTCTCTCCCTTCCTCTCTGTAAAAAATCAATAAAATATATTTTTAAATAAATAATCCTATAGCTATTTGCAGATGATATACTCCTTGTATTTATCATCAAGTTGTGAAAAAAGCCAGACCCAAGAGGCCACATATTATATGGTCCTATTCAAGAAACTACAGAATAAGCAAATCCATAGAAACAAAGTTAATTAGTGGTGCCACAGGCTGCAGGGGAAGGAGAAAAGAAAATGACTGTTTATGGGTACACAGTTCATTTTAGAATCTTGTGGTTATGCTAAAAATCACTGGTTCTCAAATTGTGAATCAAAGGCTTCACAATTGCTACTACTCATTTTAATTTATTCACATTTCTTATAAGGGTGAATCTTCTATCTATGGAATGGGATACCAAATGTGTATTTTGTTCCATTTAATCATCCATTTTTTTAATAGAAGGCCCTAGTTAGTCATAAATTTTAGCAATCCTATGAGAAATCAAAAGTTTTCTGTATGAGCAATCTCCAATAATGTTTCTGGGTAATAATATACCTTAATGCTATAAAATCAGTTATTAAAACTTAAAGTAGGTCACCTTTCACTAATACTTTGTGATTATTAGCTTGGTAGTATGTTCTAAAGTTCAGAACATCTTTTAGGTTTTTAATATCAAATGTCATTATTAATGGGGTGGAGTATGGCTTGCTACCTTGGAAATAAGGAAAACAGATATAAAAGTGGTTACAGTTAAAACTCAGTCAGCCAGAATGAATTGGAATGTTAAATCTGCTCCCAAACTCTCCTTATCTTGAGTTCTTTTTTGATATGTTGTGTTTTTAACCTTAACCAGATATTAAGCTTGAGAAGAAAAATAATCCTAATGTATAAAAAGCCAGGGGCCGTCACGACCGAAATAACCAGACGGACAACTGAACAGCAGGCTGCGTGGGGCGAACGGGCCGGCGAGGGGGTTAGTGAGGGACAACCAGACAACTGAACAGCAGGTTGCAGGGGCAACCAGGCTGGCAGGGGGGTTAGTGAGGGACAACTGAACAGCAGGCTGCGTGGGGCGACCAGGCTGGGGGGGGGGGGGGGCAGTTAAGGGCAACCAGGCCAGCAGGCAGAGGCGGTTAGAGGTGATTAGGCTGATGGGGCAGTAAGGGGCAATCAGGCAGGCAGGCAGGTGAGCAGTTAGGAG